GATCTATTCTGAGGACCTTGGTCGTTGGATTCTGAAACCTTGGCTATCCTTTAAGGGCCTTAGTACTATGATTTTTTTGTTCTTGTCCTTAGAACTAATATCTTGATCCATGTTCTAGTCCTTTATATTTCTCTGGTTCTTGGTACTTTCTAGGTTCTTGTTATGTTATTGGTTCTTTTCCCAAGACCCTCTCCCTAGGATTTACGGCACAAGCCATGCACCTGACAAACTGTGCACAAGGCTTCATGTGTTTACGGCGACACAGTCTTAACCTATGTCCAAGGCTTTATGCATTCCAAGCGACGTAGTCTGAACCCGCATCTTAGGGATTGCCCTTCGATACGGTCTGAAAATCTATACCCAAGGCTTCATGCATTCCAAGCGGCATAGTTTGAAAACCTACATCCAAGGCTTCTTACGTTCCAAGCGATGTAGTCTAATCCTGCATAAAGGGCTTGCCCTATGATACAGTCTAAATACCTAGGCTTGCCCTATGATACAGTCTCAATACCTAGGCTTGCCCTATGATACAGTCTAAATACCTACGCTCAAGGCTTCATGCGTTCCAAGCAGCGTAGTCTAAGTTATGAGCATGTTGTATCGTGAGAGGTCTTAGGAGGTTCTTGATTCTTGGCTAAGGTACTTACTCTCTTCTTATTCCATCGTGGCCCGAGACTACTCCCGATGATAGACCATAAAGGTCATGTGGTCGGTGCATACATGAACATGACATCCAGCAAATTTTTGGGTACCTATAACATGGTGCAGGACATCTCATCTAGACGTGGGAAATTAGGCCAAACATGACATCCTGCAAAGGAAACATGGTGTAAGGCATCCCATCTAAAAGAGGAAAACTTGGGCCTTTGAAAGCACCGCGTGGTCAGAGATCATGGCTCACTTTGGACATGATTAGAGTATTACCTATCATTCTTGAGTTTTCGAGTCTTAGGACTTTGACCCCTTGTCCTTGAGTGGTACCTAGCATTCTTTTTACTTTGATAGTTGTAGAGCTTGTATGGTATTGTTCTTAGTTCTCAATCTTGTAGGTTTCTAAGATTCTTGATTCCTTGAGGCATGAGTTGTAACCAGCGTTCCTAATCATATGAACCCATCATAATAACTAGCATGAGTTATTATAGAAAGTCATAGATTCATAGTGATATCCTTAGAGTGATCTAGAAGGGTCTTGAGTCTTGAGTTTTTTCCTTTAGGCGTTTCTTGAGTCATAGCTTGGTTTAGGTTTCAGACTTGGTCCAATCAACTTAAAATCTCAAACATATCTATATGTCCTTCAGCATAAACCTTTTAAAAAGTAGCAAATCATTTGGAGTAAGTATAGACCTTGAATTATCATGAATAGTCCTAGTGGCATTTTGGTCATTTTACCCCTAATTCTTGGTTTTGCTACTTAACGTGTCCCAATGGCTTCCAAACTTCACCACATCATGAAAAATCATAAAATAAGATCTACTTCAGAGTTTCATAGCATTTGGAGGTCATCTAAGTCATGAACGGTAGGTAGATATCCTTAGGGGCATTATGGTCATTGTGTACCATTTCTTGGTTTACCTACTTATCCTTATCCATTGACCACCAAAATTTTATATACAACCTCAACCTGCTGAAATATGCTTAACATTAAATATTTCATAGGCAGCGAAGTTCATCTAGTGGGTTATTTTGACGTTACCTAAATCTCGAGCAATTTGATCTGTTGAGATTTTATTTCGTTTTTATCCTTAATTCATAGTTTTTTTAGGGTTCATATGGAAATCCAAGTGATTTCTACAAGTATTTCTTAAGAAAAGTCCAAGATGGCTACTTACCTCGTTGTCGACGTTCAGGACTTTCGTTATTGAACTTCCGGTATATGAATTACCTCAGAGTTTCTTCCACAAACTCAAGCATCAATCCACAAAAAAGTTCATGGTGGGATGTAATCGAGCATAGTGATGTTGAAGAATGTAAGGATAAGATGACTCTTGCTACCATCAACCAAGCAGTCTTGAAGGACGTCCTTCTCATGTTGGTTGAGAAGGACTCGACTAAGGCAGTGTGGGAGACGCTGCAAATAATGCATGTGGGTGTTGAACGTGTCAAGGAAGCACAGGTGCAGATCTTGAAGAGTGAGCTCGAGGCTATCTACATGAAGGACAGTGAGTCAATAGACGAGTTTTCCATAAAGTTGACAACGATCGTCAGTGGCATCCATTCATTAGACGACGTGGTGGAGGAGATCTTCGTCATCAAGAAGTTCCTTCGAGCTGTTCCCCCAAGATTCATGTAGATTGTTAAGTCCATCGAGAAGTTTCGTGACCTCAAGAACATGTTGGTTGAAGAGGTCATTGGTCGTCTTAAGGTCCAGATGAGAGACTTCGTTCCAACAAAAACAAAGAGGAGGAGAAATACCACTTACTCACAAATGAGGAGTGATTCACACGAACGAAAAAGAAAGATGTAGATGATTTTTCTTTTTTAGGTACGAGGGGACGTGGAAGCCATACCAAGGAAAACAGAGATTGTGGAGGTGGTCGCAGATATGACCGTGGACGTAGTGGTAGAGGAGGTCGTGACAATACCTTACAAATCCATTACAATGCCAACACCCGAAAGGACAAGAGTATGATCAAGTGTTACTCTTATGGAAAATACGGGCATTATGTGACAGAGTGGTACAACAAGAAGCACGATGTGGAGGCAAACTACATGTTGACAGATGATGAAAAGCCCAGATTGATGTTGGCCGAGAAAATGTCCAAACTGTTGATGCTCAATGAAGAGAAGGTTATGGCGAACCCCTTCATAGATGGAGAAGACTAAGTCGAGACCAATATGTGATACCTAGACAACGAAGAGAGCAACCACTTGACCAGAGATTGAGAAAAATTCAAGGAGCTTGATGAGAAGTTCATTGAAAATGTGAAGCTTTGTGACAGACTAATTGTATCAATCCAACAAAGGACTAACTTGTTCTAATGTAAGAACGACAATCAACATCTATTGACCAATGTGTATTACATCCCAAGTTTAAAGAGAAATATTATTAGTCTTGGTCAAATGCCAGAAGAAGATTGTAGAGTGGAGATTGTCGGCCCATTCCTCAACAATGCTTGTCTTCACTATGACACATGTATGTGCCACAATGTGGCTCGCTTAGGCCACAGGGCCGAGGGGTTGTGGAGAACTGGTACCATTCCTTCCCCTATAGTACATTTTGAGCATATCCAATCTTTCTCGAGTAGACGTCATTTTGGCGAGCAGTTATACGTCTCCGTGCAGCGTCCGTTAATTATCCGATTGACACCAAATTTGGTGAGCTTTCATCTTTCATATAAATGAACTTAACTACCAAGTAGCATGTTAAAAATCATATCAAAATCCTAACTTCAAAGGTTATAGCCTTGGGCCCTACCTGGCCCTCTTCGAACTTGTCTTTGAAACTCGTGTTTCTTCTTTCTCTCAAACTAGTGTATTTATGACTTTGCTCTATTTTCCAACTGTTCACAATCATTTTAAGCCTAAATGGTGGGGCTTTATTTTCCAAATACAGCAATCAATTTATAGATATGAAAATAAAATGAAATCATTACCTGCTAGCTAACCAAGTTACTTAATTAAGGTAGATCTGCTAGATTTATGCCTAATTTTGTAGGACCTCTACTTAGACACACAATCAAGCACAACCCCTTCATTTTCGGGTGAGTCTGGTATAAAGCCGTGTCAGATATGTTTACATCCAGACATGTTTGGGAGCTACATCCTTTAGAAAAAACGAACATCTAGATCACTCTTGTAATTATAGAAACAAGGTAATTTAGGTTTAGCTACCTAACATCTATGTAATTAATAGTTGTATGTGTCTAGCAAGATTTATTTGGAAAAACGTCATTATTCTTTTTGTAAGTTATTAGCATGCATTACATTAATTTTTTTTTAACAATCGAAGGTTGAAATAACTCAACTAGTAAGAGTATGTGGCTGTTAACCACAAGCTTGAACGTTGCTTTCAACTTTTGACAATTCTAACCTCAACGTTGTAGAGGTAGAGAAAACTCGTAGAGCATGTATGGATCTCCAAGTTTATGTCAATAATAAATCTTGAAACTCAACCATAACTTCAAAAAATAACACAGAAACGAGTTTCCGTAACCTCCCTCTCATTTGAGTCAAAAAGAAACTATATATATAAAAATGCTCTTATTTGAAACCTACTTGTAGAACTCTCATAATATCTTATATCTTATTCAACCTTATCATGGTTGTGTTCTATCTGAGCCCGAAGAGATAGCTAATTTCATCATTGGGTAATCTAACCCTATTAGTTTAATTGAACCTCATCCTCCTACTCAAATTGTGTAATTCACCCCCTCAAAGTTAGTTGGGGTTCTAGGTGCACGTAGTTAATTGATTTCTAATCTTGAAACTCTAACAATAAATTATGAGCATACAGAATAATTCAACCATGTGAACATGTCCTCCAAAAAATAAAATTTGAAAAATTCTTCTAATAACATTCATATCTACGTGATTGAATCGTTTATACTCGGCCAAGAGTCTCAACTTCAATTAGAGTGGAGGAGTCCTTAAACATGGATACTAGCTAAATCAATCAACTTTTCATTTTTCCTGATTATCTTACGAAGTCCTAGTTTATTCCTACAAGTATTTCTTCAAAAAATATTCAAATAGTTACTTAATTGCTCATACGTGTTTGGAAACTTGGTTACATGTGAGAATATTTGCTAAAACTACCACACCTAAATGGTAGTGAAAGTTCTCTGTTCATAATCATTGAAATAATCAAATAAATTGCAAAAGATATGGAATAAACAATAAATGTAATGAGCAATAAAAGGATACAATATATTTGCGTTTAGGAAAATATGGTACTTATTGTAAGCGAAGGCAAATATCTAGATATTTGACTATAATAAATGAACAAATATGGTACCTCTAGTAAACCGTAATAGAAGGCTAAATATCGTCAATCATATATTAAAGGATCATATGTTTTTGGTAAATAGTCGTTTTCAGTTTCATCATTACATAATTGAGTCCTTTCTTCTAGGGGAGGTCATAAGCGTCTATACCGTAAAATCGATTTTCGACGGAAAGAAAAAGACATATATGGTAGAGTCGTAACCATAGAATACGACCCTAATCGAAATGCATACATTTGATAAACCATAATCCATAACTAAATATCCTTAACACCCCCGCAAGCCAAGCGTTGGACTTGAATAAATGTGAAGCTTGGATCTCAAAAATTAAAAAAGAGGTCGAAAAACACATTTTATGAAGATGTTAGTAATCTGGTTTGGAAGAGATGTCTAGTTGAGCAGCATAGTGTTTTCTTGGCCTTAGAAAATTGCAGAGGGTTCATCGGGCAGCGGTGATGTTTCCTTGGTTCTGACGAGAATATGACTAACCCACGAATTAGGAGAGAAAGACCCACACGAAAGGAAGAAGGAGATTTGAGAGGGAGGGTCATTTGAAGGGTCTTGATCATGCTGAAGAAAAAAAAAAAACAAAACAAAAGAATTACCCTAAATCAAACCTTGGAAGATACAAAAATTACAATTAAAAATGGAATGGGAATGAAAACGAGAGAGAGAGAGAGTATGGAAAGGGAGAATGAAGAACCTTTAGCAAATGGAATGAAAACGAGAGAGAGA